TGAATAATATCTCCATAAGAAAAGTGTTAGATCTCATCGTCATCTGTCACGCTCACGCTTTTCTCCTTCATAACCAGAGTGTCTCACGGTCAAACGCTGATCTCCTCTTTTCTCCTAAGGGAGGTTTAGGAGAAACAATTGAGAAATCAGTGATCCTTTATTAATATAATATTGAGATCTGCTTTATTTCTCTGAGACAATCTTAAGACAGATTTTTTTTTCCTCTGGGTTGTCTCACTAAGAATTTGGTGTAGAACTGTGGTGTAATGCCTTTCTTTTTGTTGTTGTTAGCCATGTAGACTTTAGCATGCTAATGAGCCCGCTAGCAGAGGCAAGCAATGATGCAGTCATGCTGAGGTAAATCTGCCCGTGGCTGAGGTGAAACCGGCATTAACTGAGGTAAATCTGCCAGCGGCTGAGGTGAAACCGGCATTAACTGAGGTAAATCTGCCCGTGGCTGAGGTGAAACCGGCATTAACTGAGGTAAATCTGCCAGTGGCTGAGGTAAAACCGGCATTAACTGAGGTAAATCTGCCCGTGGCTGAGGTGAAACCGGCACTAACTGAGGTAAATCTGCCCGTGGCTGAGGTAAAACCGGCATTAACTGAGGTAAATCTGCCCGTGGCTGAGGTGAAACCGGCATTAACTGAGGTAAATCTGCCCGTGGCTGAGGTGAAACCGGCACTAACTGAGGTAAATCTGCCTGTGGCTGAGGTGAAACCGGCATTAACTGAGGTAAATCTGCCAGTGACTGAGGTAAAACCGGCATTAACTGAGGTAAATCTGCCCGTGGCTGAGGTGAAACCGGCACTAACTGAGGTAAATCTGCCCGTGGCTGAGGTAAAACCGGCATTAACTGAGGTAAATCTGCCCGTGGCTGAGGTGAAACCGGCATTAACTGAGGTAAATCTGCCCGTGGCTGAGGTGAAACCGGCACTAACTGAGGTAAATCTGCCCGTGGCTGAGGTGAAACCGGCATTAACTGAGGTAAATCTGCCAGTGACTGAGGTAAAACCGGCATTAACTGAGGTGAATGACCATTTGTAAACTGTATACGGGCTTCAAGTGACAGAAATCTTTAGAACTACTTAAAGGAACAGACGACTTAAGCCTCACAGCTAGGAAAAAGTCTGTGAAATGAAAGAGGAGGTAATGTTAACATGTGCAGATCATTGCTCCACTCACTGTTTGTGAGTTTGTGTGGATCCAGACTGTCAGTAAGGTTAATTGAATCATTATATAGTTATTTGACATCCCTCTATAGCTGGTTAAGATACACTCTCATTTCATTTGACTCAGTGTGAAGCATGACAAGACTGAAAAAAACACAATAAAACATCAGTCTCTCATAGTGTAAGTGTGCCTGCAGCATGTAAACAAAGGCCCAATCCCTTCACCCCTCGCCCCTACCACTTAGCCCTTAGCACTCTGTTTTACGTGTTCACGTCTAGGGGTAGGGTGTCCCGATTTTTTTTGCGGGGTGGGGTGAAGAGTTAGAGCTACATGGCCCTCCAAACAGAGGTTTTTCAGAGACTCCAAACAGAGAGTTATGAGAAAAAAAGAAAAACCGGCAAGATGGCTGAACAAGAGACCAAAGAAACACAAATGTGAGAATTTTCTCCATTAAAAAATGCCGATAACTATTTATTACTTTAGGTTAATGTCGTTTCAGTGTATTACGGTCATTTTCTTCATAAGAAGCAGAAAAATAATAGCACTAACGTCTTGGTAGCTGGCTAACAAACTTTCCCATTCCACCTTAAATAGTTCAGCAGTTCTGATGCCTGAAGCACCAGAATGTAACTGCTGCACTATTTAAGGTGGAACAGGAAAATCTGAACAAGAAGCTGGCGAATATCTGACTTCTGCTTCATATCACCAAAGCATTAGCGGTGGGTGATAATAAATAATTGTCCCCCCTCTTTGAAGTCATATGATGCCCTAAATGTAACTAAAGCCCAGCAGTGAGGAGCTGAACTTTACCCTCCTCTGCTGTCACTGAAGACGGGCAGGGTCGCCTACAGAGCAGCGCTAGTAGCTGTTAATGAAGTGATGTCTCTTTTACCAGCATACACCAGCATGGCTGGTCACCAGCAAAAACAGCATATGTTGTGTTTTGGAGGCTGGTATGCTGGTCAGAAACAATTGAAGTTAATATGCTGATCATCAGAAACAAACAACATACTGCTGCTGTCCAAACAACAACACAAAAAAGACAAAAAAGAAGTATCTCCATTTTTTTCTGCATCATTTGAATGCAGCAGTTGTGCTTTAGATTGTGTATTTTTTTAAAAAACGGAGCAACAGAAATCTAAAATCACTCAGTATAAAATCTCTGTACATTAACTTACATTCAAAGGTAAGAACGTTTTTTTCCTCCTGTTAAGTTAGCATTTTGAAGAAACGTTTTTCTTTGGATAGTGCTGATATGCTGTGGATGCTGGTATGGTTGTCAACCAACATGACCATGCTGAGTGACCAGCTAAACCAGCGTATGTTGTGTTTTGGTTGCTGGTATGCTGGTCAGTAGCAATGGAAATTATTCTTTGCTTCCAAAGCCAGAAAACCCAGCATATCGCTACTGTCAAAAAAACATGTATCTGCATTTTTTAAATTTTTACAGTATTTGAAAGCGGCAGCTGTCCTTCACACTATGTGAAAATTTCATGATGGATGGACCAATAGAAATGCTCTCAAATCACTCAGAATAAAATCTCTTTACCTTAACTTACACTCAAATTTAAGTACGTTTTCTTCTGTAAAGTTAGTATTTTGGAGACACACCTTTGTCTTTGGACAGCAGTGATATGCTGTGTTGTGGATGCTGGTGTGCTGGTCAGCAGCAACAGAAATTAATATGCTGATCATCAGAAAAAACAACACTATCACTGCTATCTAAAAAAAAATATACCCAGAGATATCATTTGAATGCCACATTTGTGCTTTAGATCGTGTGAAAATTTTATTATGAATGGAGCAACAGAACTGTTCTAAAATCACTCAGTATAAAACCTCTGTACATTAACTTACATTCAAAGTTAAGTATGTTTTTCGCCTTCTGCTGTAAAGTTCTTTGGAGATGCATGTTTGTCTTTGGACAGCAATGGTATGCTGTGTTGTGGATGCTAGTGTGCTGGTCAACCAGCATGACCATACCAGGTGACCAGCTAAACCACCACCAGACCAGCATAAACCATCATGGACCAGTCTGGAATGCATGTTGCTCTGTGCTGTTTATTCAGCAGGGATGTGCACAGCAGAGGTACATAACGATGGTTCTTCAGGTGTTCTTTAGTAAAGAAAATGGTTCTATATAAAACTATAACAACGCAAAGAACTCTTTGCATGTTTAAAGGGTTCTTTGCAATGTGAAAGGGTTCTTCAGATTGATGGAGAACGTGCTGTAGATGGTTCTATATAGAACCTTATTGAAAATGATTCTATATAGCACCAAAAGGGCAAGCTTGACATCGTAACAATGGAAGAACCTTTTTCATGATGAGCTCCATCACTCCAGAGAACGCAGTTCCACTGCCCCACAGCCCAGCGCTGGGGGGCTTTATACCCCTCCAGCCGACACTTGGCATTGAGCATGGTGGCCTCAGGCTCATGTGTGGCTACTCCAGAGTGTCCCGTTCTGTTGAGAGAATAGAAACTGTGTTAGCACAATCAAACGTGTAAACATTTATGAAGAAATACACTTAAAAATGATGGTTCTTCAAGGGTTCTTTAGTAAAGAAAATGGTTCTAGATAGAACCATGAACACTCAAAGAACCCTTTGCCTGATTAAAGGGTCCCTGCATTGTGAAAAGGTTCTTCAGATTGATAGAGAATGTGCAGTAGATGGTTCTATATGGAACCTTTTTGAAAAGGGTTCTATATAACACCAAAAGGGCAAGCTTGACATCGTAACAATAGAAGAACCTTTTTAGTGTTATATAGAAACCATCTACAGCACATTCTCCATCAATCTGAAGAACCCTTTCACGATGCAAAGAACACTTGAGCTCCATCACTCCACAGAATGCATTTCCACTGGGGGGCTTTATTCCCCTCCAGCCAACACTTGGCACTGAACATGGTGACCTCAGGCTCATGTGCGGCTACTCCAGAGTGTCCCTGTTCTATTAAAAGATACAAAATGTTCTAGATAGAACCATGAACACTCAAAGAACCCTTTACCAGATTCAAGAGTCCTTCCATCATGAAAAGGTTCTTCAGATTGATGGAGAATGTGCTGTAGATGTTTCTGTATAGACTCTTTTTGAAAAGGGTTCCATTTGGTACCAAAAAGGGTTCTTCTACTGTAACAAGCTTGGCATTGTAACAACAGAAGAACCCATTTTGGGTGTTATATAGAACCTTTTCAAAAAAGTGCTCCATCAATCTAAAGAACTCTCTAATCATGCAAAGGGTTCTTTGAGTGTTCATGGTTCTATACAGAACCATTTTCTTCACTAAAGAACCCTTGAAGAAACCATTATGTTAAACTGTCTACAAAAGGACCAGAGTTGGGGATCCTGATCTTTACAGCATCATCAGCTCCACCTCTGCCAGAGTAAACACATACCTGCTTAGGCTGATCAGAATCAAGCAGTCTAAACTTAAACCAGTGGCTGAGAGCAGAGAGGCTGGAGAGGGAGCAGTGCGGGCTGTCGCCTTCACGCAGCCTTGCAGGCAGCCCGTGTGCGCATGTGTTGGAGCGCAGAGCAGCTCAGCGCGCATCGCCACACAGTAACCAGAGGACTCACTCGCACCTCTGTGTGAACGGACTGATGACCAGCCGCAGCGTTCGGCTCCTCGGGTCTCCTAGACGATCTATGAGGGATTTTTAGGCGCGTTTTCTGAGGAGCGCATAATGTGAGCGCACCAAAAAGCCTCTCTGTGCGTTTTTACGCGCCAAGCTAGATTATCAGAGGAGCGTTTAGACCTAGTCCAGGAGGATGTGATCTGGCTCTGAAGGTGGACCGTTCTCGTTGAAAACCAAAAGCCTCTCAGTATGAGCAACTGGACGAACGTGTCCGCGTGTCCGGTCAGCATCAGCTCGTGCGTCGCGGAGAGCGCGGATAACGACGAAGCGGACTATCCGGTCCACCTCTTCCCCGTGCCCGTGCTCACGGGCATAACGGCCACGTGCTCGCTCCTGTTCCTCGTCGGAATCGCCGGCAACCTGCTGACCATCCTGGTGGTCACCAAGTACAAGGACATGCGGACCACCACCAACCTGTACCTGTGCAGCATGGCTCTGTCCGACCTGCTCATCTTCCTGTGCATGCCGCTGGACCTGTACCGCGTGTGGCGCTACCGGCCGTGGAACCTGGGCGACGAGCTGTGCAAGCTGTTCCAGTTCGTGAGCGAGAGCTGCACCTACTCGGCCATCCTGAGCATCACGGCGCTCAGCGTGGAGAGGTACTTCGCCATCTGCTTCCCGCTGCGGGCCAAAGTGCTGGTGACCCGAGGCAGGGTCAAGGGCGTCATCGTGCTGCTGTGGACCGTGGCGCTCTGCAGCGCCGGACCCATCTTCGCGCTCGTGGGCGTCGAACACGAGAAGGGCACGGAGCCGTGGGAGACCAACGAGTGCAAGGCCACCGAGCGAGCCATCCAGTCCGGCCTGCTGACCCTCATGGTGTGGGTCTCGAGCGTCTTCTTCTTTCTGCCCGTGCTGTGCCTGACCGTCCTGTACAGCCTCATAGGCAGGACGCTGTGGAAGAGGAAGGAGAACCCGGTGGGGCCCGTGTCCAGCCGGGACAAGAGTAATAAACAAACTGTTAAGATGTTAGGTAAGATCTATCTATCCATCTATCTATCTATCTATCTATCTATCTATCTATCTATCTATCTATCTGCTTATCTATCTACTTATCTATCTATCTATCTATCTATCTATCTATCTATCTATCTATCTATCTATCTATCTATCCATCTATCTATCTATCTATCTATCTATCTATCTGCTTATCTATCTACTTATCTATCTATCTATCTATCTATCTATCTATCTATCTATCTATCTGCTTATCTATCTACTTATCTATCTATCTATCTGCTTATCTATCTGCTTATCTATCTATCTATCTATCTATCTATCTATCTGCTTATCTATCTATCTATCTATCTATCTATCTATCTATCTATCTGCTTATCTATCTATCTATCTATCTATCTATCTGCTTATCTATCTATCTATCTATCTATCTATCTATCTATCTATCTATCTATCTATCTGTCTATCTATCTATCTATCTATCTATCTATCTATCTATCTATCTGCTTATCTATCTATCTATCTATCTATCTATCTATCTATCTGCTTATCTATCTATCTATCTATCTATCTATCTATCTGTCTATCTATCTGCTTATCTATCTATCTATCTATCTATCTATCTATCTATCTATCTATCTATCTATCTATCTATCTATCTATCTATCTACTCCAGTGTTGCATTAAGATGAATGTTAGTGAACTAAAGCCTGACTGATGGGTTTAAGACACCCCGTCTTAAAATCATGAGTTCTAAATAGAACCATTTCATGCTTAAAAGGTTCTCTGCATGGTGAAATTGTTCTTCAGATTGATGGAGAATGTGTTGTATGTGGTTCTACATAGCACGAAAAAGAACCCCTTTTGGTGTTATACAGAACCAGTAAGCATGAAACACTTCTATTTGGAGCTCGTGGTTCTAAATAGGACCATTGTCTTTTCTACAGAACTCTTGGAGAACCATCTTTAAGTGTGTATGTCTGTTTATTGGATCTATCTACACTACATGGCCAAAAGTTTGCAGACACCTGCTGATCCAGTGTTTCTTCTGAAATGAAGGGTATTAATAGTGAGTTTGTCCCCCTTTGCTGCAGTAACAGCCTCTACTCTTCTGGGAAGGCTTTACACTAGACTTTGGAACATTGCTGTGAGAATCTGATTGAGGATTAGTGAGGTCAGGTACTGATGTTGGATAATCAGCTCATCCCAAAGGTGTTGAAAGGAGCTCCATCACTCCAGAGAATGCAGTTCCACTGCTCCACCGCCCAGTGCTGGGGGGCTTTATACCCCTCCAGCTGACACTTGGCACTGAGCATGGTGAGCATTGGTTCTATTTGGCACCAAAAAGGGTTCTTCTATTGTTACAAGCTTGACATGATAACAATAAAAGAACCCTTTTTGTTTTTTTTTTCAAAAAAGGTTCGGTATAGAACCATCTACAGCACATTCTCCATTAACCTGAGGAACGCTTTCATGATGCAAAGAACCCTTTAATCATGCAAAGATGGTTCTTCAAGGGTTCTTTAGTGAAGGTAGTGGTTCTATTTAGAACCATGAGTTCTGTATAGAACCATTTCATACTTAAATGGTTCTCTGTGTGATGAAATGGTTCTAAAATATTGATGGAGAATGTGTTATATGTGGTTCTACATAGCACCAAAAAGGGTTCTGCTATTGTTATGGTGTCAAACTTGTAACAATAGCAGAACCCTTTTTGGTGCAATAGAGAACCATTAACCATAAACCATAACTATATACTATAACTATAAATAGAGCTTGTTGTTCTAAATAGAACCACTGCCTTTACTAAGGAACTCTTTGAGATCTCAGTCAAGCTGAAGAACCATTTCATGATGCAAAGATGGTTCTTCAAGGGTTTTTTAGTAAGAAGAAGAACCCTTTCACAATGCAAAGAACCCTTCAATCATGCAAAGGGTTGTTTAAGTGTTCATGGCTCTATATAGAACCTTTTTGAAAAGTGTTCTCTATAGCACCAAAAAGGGTTCTTCTGTTGTAACAAACCTGACATCATAACAACAGAATAACCCTTTTGGTGCTATATAAAATCCTTTTTAAAAAGGTTCTATATAGAACCATCTACAGCACATTCTCAATCAATCTGAAGAACGCTTTCACGATGCAAAGAACCCTTCATGCAAAGGGTTCTTTGAGTGTTCATGGATCTATATAGAACCTTTCTGAAAAGGGTTCTATATAGCACGAAAAAGGGTTCTTCTATTGTTACAAGCTAGACATCATAACAATAGAAGAACCCTTTTTGGTGATATATTGAACCCTTTTCCCAAACGTTCTGTATAACGTTCTATATGAGCATTCATGGTTCTATATAGAACCATTTTCGTTACTATAGAACCCTTGAAGAACCATCATTTTTAAGTGTGTAGTGCTGTCCTGCTTAGCACTGTTGTGTACTTAGAGTTCTTCTCTCTCTGCTTCCCAGCTGTGGTGGTTCTGGCGTTCGTGCTCTGCTGGCTGCCGTTCCACGTGGGCCGCTATCTGTTCTCCAAGTCATCTGAAGTGAACTCGCCTCTCATCACCCAAATCAGCGAGTACTGCAACCTGATCTCCTTCGTTCTCTTCTATTTCAGCGCCGCAATAAACCCGATCCTTTACAACATAATGTCAAAGAAGTACAGGGTGGCGGCCTGCAGGCTGTTCGGAGTGAGACGCGCTCCTGAGCGCTCAACCTCAACTGCTGTTAACGCTGAGAGCTTCGCAGTGTGGTACGACTCCAGCGGCAGCACATGACCGAGGACAGAGTCGGCCTCGTACAGAGGATACAGAAGTCCTTAAGTGACCTGGCCCGCTGCTCATTTTAAAAAGGGTTTCAAGGGATGGGACGTCAAACAGTGAAGGCGCTCCTGCCCCGCCCTGCCTGGAACAATTGCTGAGGACAAAGTGGACTAATTTCGACACTGGACGCAACAATAAATGACCTGATGGCACAAAGAGGGACCACTGCTTTCTACTAATCACTTAAAGGAATAGTTCTGTGACACAGTGTTGCCCCCTTTACCCTGTATGTACTCCATCATCCAAGACGTGTTTGGTAAAGTTTGCTTCTTTAGTTTTATAAAGCTAAAGTAACTAAAAAGTAATGAAAGCTAATACCTAATCACCACACCCTTGCCTTGAACCACAAAACAGTGGTTTAGACAGTTTATACCAGGGGTCGGCAACCCAAATGTTAAGAAGAGCCATTTTGTTCTTTCAACAAAAGTCAAAACACCGCTTTTCTCGCATCTCCAGCAGGAAACTTTTCCACAAAAGTACAATAGTTTCTTGTAAAATGTCTCTCAATGTTCGACTTTTTACGAGGCTGAAGTCGCTTCTTATTCACCGGCTTCTTGTTCTGATTTTCCCGTTCCACCTTAAATGGTACCTGAGGCACAAGAATATAACTGCTGCACCATTTAAGGTGGAATGGGAAAATTCCAACAAGAAACTGACTTGAGCTTCATGACTCTTTAGTGTTTGTCAGTTTCTCGTTGCAGATTAAACGTATCAGGAAACCAGCTGGAGTGATTATAAATGCAAATAATTTCCATTTGTCTCCAAATTATCGATGTTCATCTTAAATCTTTCTCTTTGCAGTTTCGTTAGCTACTAGCTCGACGAGATGTGCTGTGCTGAACGACCAGCAGAGCTTTATTTTACTGCAAAAGCGGATTACTTTATTTTTACCTACAAATCTAATTCTACAGTGAAAGAGCTGCACGTTGCTGACCCCTGGTCTATACAAATGGACAAAAGACCACTGCATAGCTAAAATCAGTAAGTGCACCAATAGATCATTCCTTGGAATCATTCATTGGATATTGACAGTGTTACAAGCCATCTGTGCAGAATATAGTTGTCATTATTACTTATTAAGTAATATGAGAGGCAGGTGCAGCTGGTAATTATATGTAATTAGATCATTTTCTAAAAAAAGATTGGACAGATCTTTAGATTTTGGCCGATATTTAATGATGGAAGAACACGCCGGATTACTGCAGTAAAATGTCCACACTTTATTCCTTTTACTGCGTTTGTAACCCTACAGTAAATCTGAAATTCTGCCCTAATGCTAATCGATTTAGACATAGATTTGATTTCTACGTTTTTTAAATGTTTACGTATCGGCATTGGCAGATGTGCACTTGAAAAATATCGGATATCGGCATCGGTCCACAATTTTCATTTCGGTGCATCCCCAACAGTAATTCAGGGAAATGCAAGAATTGCAAAATTTTCACCGTCAGTCGTTTTACATTTCGTTGATTTTCTATATGAAAGTAAGTAAACACATCCTCTACACTTAAATATGTCAACAGTATATTTTTTCTGCTAATTTTAGTGCATAGTTTCTATTTTCTTTACTTAGTTTGAGTTAAAGAAACCAACAAAAGACAAGAATATAAAATGCGCTGTTATTATTGCAGAGGCTGCGTTCTGTTTTATTCTCCATGTTAAGCTCAGTAGTTGTGTATTAAACAGTAATGGTGTATTAAAATGTGCAGGAGTGTGTTCTCTGTGGAGGATGTGTTCACTTATTTTCAGTTTATGTTACTTGACCAGGGGTGCACAAACTTTTGCACATGATCGTATAGGGAGGGTAAGGCTCTCTAACACTCGGGTACTGTAACTGAATCTGAATCATGATGATATTATTTATCACAGTAATTCAGCAGATGATAATCGTTGGTCTAAATCGACAGTATCGTCCGAACCTAGCGGCCACCTTAAAGAGTGTCCAGACTTTTGTCTACTTTATAGATGTAGACGCGTTGATTGATGACATTTTGTCCATTTTATAGATAACAGTGCACTGATTGACTACATTTGGGGAAAGGACAAAACTGCAGGCTTGACTTTTCACTGAACTATTCTTTTAACCATCAAAACGCTGATTTTTAAGGCAGTTATTTTTTTATTTACAGCCAGCTGGGAATGGACCGCAGTCCGGCTAGTGCAAGCTTGCCATGGCTTGTTATGTGAAGCTGCTAACTGGCTGGCGGTTACAAACGGGAGGTGTGAAGAAGCTTCATGGCTAAAGAAGCTGGCATGTGGGGATCTGTGGGAGGGTCCTCAGTGGGCCGCTATGACACGCACATTCACACTGTACAGCATCAAGAGACAACAGAGAAAAGAGCAACTACACAGAGTTTTGATCGAATCTACGCAAGCAGAGTGCATTTTGGATCATAATGTGCAAATGTGAATAGTAAACTACATTGCATTATACATTGTTTACCTTGAGATGTCAAAGCTGATCTGAATGTATTATAGCAGAACTGATGCAAGTGTTTTTACATACTGTATTTTTGCCACATCGTTCTTGCAGAAATATGCATCCTACACAAAAATGCCTTAAACAGTCTGAAATACTGGATGACAAAGTTCGCACTGTAGACGTACGCGCTGTACATTGTACCCCGAGCCGGGGGAGAATACAATGGTGCCAGCTGATCAAAGTCCTTAACCTTATGAACCTGTATATGTTAAATATATAACATTCTCGTGATGTCGTTCGTACATTTGTGGCAAATATGTTGTTGTTCAAGATGTTTGTGTTTAAATTCAGCATTCAGTCTCTACAGAACTGCACTGGCGGCTTTAAAGATTGTGATCTGCTGTGAACATATGACGTGATTTATGTTTTAAGTGTCTTCATAAGGGGCCAATAAAAGCAGCATGAGTTTCCTGTAGCTGTTGAGTAGCACTTCGGTTAATGTGTGCATTCACAACTTGTCATGGTCGTATTAAAACACTGTATCTCCAAATTGGAACCTTTATAGAAGGACTTTCATGTAGTGTTTCTCAGTCATCGGGATGCACCAGACAGTAACGGGGGGAGGGGGGCAATCTGGACTCAATTTTACAGCCATATGCAAAAGTTCTGTTGATTTTCTAAGTGAAAATAAGTAAGAACTGTGCAGGGGTTACGGCACATTTTATATCTGATGTTTTATTTTTTCCAATATGTTAAACACAGCAACAAATAATAAATAAACATAATAAAAATTGTGCACTGAAACCTCTGTAGAGGATGTGTTCGCTTCTTTTCATACTGAAAATCAACAAAACTTGTGACTTTGAGTCACTTACCTAAATCAGTGTGATCCATCATGTTAGAGAGATCGGATCTGAGCAAAAAATCAGATTGAGCAACGAGGCTTGTAATGTGACCGTAGCCAGATCTGAGTCACATTAGTCTGGTAATGTGGACGTAGCCTAAATGTCATGTGCACGAGGATTAATCAGAGTATCTAAACCTGGATTAACAGGAAGTTGCTAACCACTTCCTGTTAATTAACTGCATCTGTGTTTGTGAGGTTTAGTAAAGCTGAAGCTGTCAAAAGTTGAATCTGCTTCGTTGGACAGATCCCAGATCAAACGGCCTAATGTGAACACCACAAACCATGACTGTAAGCTTTTTCTCCTCATCTTTTCTTTCCTGGCTCCACATGTGCATGTTCTTTTTTGAGACACAGTTGCTTTTTTCACCTCACTCAAGCATATTAAGTGACCCTTATTAATCCCACAATGGGGAAATTTCACCTCTGCATTTTAACCCATCTGTGTAGTGAAACACCACATACAGACTAGTGAAAGCACACACACTAGGGGGCAGTGAGCAGCCCTATCCACGGTGCCCAGGGAGCAGTTGGGGGTTAGGTGCCTTGCTCAAGGGCACTTCAGTCACATACTATTGGCTCAGGGGATCGAACTGGCTACCTTACACTCACAAGGCTGGTTCCCTAACCTCCAGTCCATGACTGCCCCCATCTTAACATCTTAGACAGCACAATGGCATAATAATGTCTCGGAAGTTGTTAGAGGGCCCCCTGCTGGCTGCAGAGCCCTATGCAGCTGCTTATGTCACTTTAATAGAGTTGGTGCTGCACAAAAAGCTGTGCTGATTGACGCAGGGTCGACTTCAAGAGGGTCCAGTTTTTTCTTCAGGTCTAAAATATTCTTTGTTGTGTTTATAAGATTTATTTAAGCCGTTCATGTATAATTTGTTTTGGAGCCGTGGCTTTTTGGGTGAATTCCATCATGAGGCAGCATCACACCAGCATTCACTTTCACTGGTATACCTTTCCGCCTCCATTAGACGGCTCCACAGCGTTACTCTAAACTGGTCAGTTGGGATCAGGAATAGAGCAAAACAGTGGAACGGTCAGGGGGCCAACGACTGCACTGGGAAACGCTGCTTTAATGTATATTCATGTACGAAGAATGCATTTCGAGTACTTTTAGATCATTTCCATTGGTCCGTTCATTGTGAAATGTAATGCTAATGGTGTAAAAAAAAGAACAAGCTTTTGATATGACAGCAACAGAAGGTAAACTATTTCATACGTCTCTGAATCTGCTACTATAATTCTGCTATATCTGTTAAAATGAATGGATAAAGTTCGATGAGCAGAACCGGCACTGAAAAACAATCACAAACACTGTAAGTCATATCAGAAAATTTTAAACATTTATTGCGTATAAATATATTACATATATGCTACAGATACATAATCATCTTAAATACAAAGGGTAGTACTTCAAATCTATACATTAAACTGATATGGTAGGTTTTTTTTTAATATAATGCCTATGATTATAATTTACAACAATAAATGTGACGTGATAATGTTGAAAATGGCAGTGTGGAATGATTCTCATCATGTGTGAACATGAGCAGGTGCGTTTATCTACAGGTGTCTGAGGACACCCTAATGGCAGGTAAGGCTTTAAGTCATGATGTCAGAAGATCCTTAACGTTGCAACCTGATAACTCGCACATTTATTTAAAAACGTG